GAGCCTCAAAATCCTTGCCTCCAGGGAGCCGCCTGGTTTAACCCTTTCCAGGATGAATCTGTTTGTTTTCCTAGCAGTCCATGGTACCCTCAATACTCTTCTTTAGCACCACAGCTCAAAGGCATCAATTCTCCTTCTATCCTCCTTAGTCACTGTCCAACTCTCTGATGCATAACAAGTGATAGCAAAGACCATGGCCTATATCAGATGCACCTTTGTCTCCAGAGAGACACCATTGATCTTCAGTACTTTGGAGAGGTCCCTAACAGGAGACTTTCCCATGGCAATGTGCCTTTTAATTTCCTGGCTACTGGTGTCAAGAGTGTTCACTGTGGAGACAAGCAAACTAAAGCGGTGTACAATCTCAATCTCTTCACCATCCATCATGATGCTGCCAATTGGTCCAGTGGTGAGAATCTTTGTCTTCTTGAGACTGAGCCTCAATCCATATTGGAGACTGCAGTCCTTCACATTCTGCAGCAGGAGCTTCAGGTCCTCCACAGTTTCAGCAAGCACGGCTGTGTCATCTGCATAACGCAGATACTTGATAGATCTTCCACCAATCTTGACCCCACATTTCTCCTCATAGAGCCCAGCCTCCCAGATAATCTGTTCTGCATACAGGTTGAAAAGGTATGGAGACGGGACACATCCCTGGCATATGCCCTTCCCAATTTTGAACCATGCATTGTTTTCTTGCTCTGTTCTAATGACTGCCTCTTGGTCCAAGTATAGGTTTCGCATTAACACGATCAAGTGTTCTGGGATTCTCATTCTTCTCAGAGTCAGCCACAGTTTGTTATGATCCACACAGTCAAAAGCTTTTGCAGAGTCAATGAAACACAGATATACATTCCTCTGGTATTCCCTGCTTTCAGCTAAGATCCATCTAACATTACTACAATATCCCTAGTACCACGACCCCTTCTAAACCCAGCCTGGACTTCCGGCAGTTCTCTGCTGATGTGCTGTTCCAGTTGGTTTTGGATAATCTTCAGTAGAATCTTGCTTGCATGAGAAATCAATGATATTGTTCTATAGTTTCCCCATTCTGTTAGGTCACCCTTCTTTGGAATGGGAACAAATATAGATCTCTTCCAGTCAGTTGGCCAAGTGGTTGTTCTCCAGATTTCTTGGCACAACTTGGTGAGCACATCTAGGCAGCATCTGTTAGCTGAAATATGTCAACTGGTATACCATCTTTTCCTGGAGCCTTATCTTTTGTTATTTCCTTCAAAGCAGCCTGTGGCCTTTGGGCCAAGAAAAACCTATCTACACACCAGTTCTACAGGACACATCACCTTCGCTCAGGAAACATTACCACTAAACTTAAGAGACACTGGTCACAGCATAAGAAACTATCAGCAGCCGACGTGTTTGGAATCACAGAAGCCAAGGAAGCTTCAGATATAAGCTATCAGATCAAGGGCTGGACAATGGGAGATAGATGTTGAAGGGAGTTGGTCGAAGTGTATGGGTATCCTGGTGGATGGTGGAGCAGGGAAATAAGTGGGTAAAGACTCGTGTGCCAAAGGCAGGGACAACACTCATACTAATGGTTAACTTCACAATAAGCGATATATCTTTCACTTTTCTGTAAAATGCTGGTCTATCTGGTACTTCTGTAAATCTGAACATTCAAATTAAGATAGACTAGGAAGAAGTATTGCTCATCCACTTCTGAAATAGCAGGCCTCCGAAAACCCTATGTACAACAGAAACATGTAGAATAACAAAAGGGCAACTGGGGTAGAGCTTTCAAGTATGGAAATAAAAAGGAAGAGGAACAGTTGTAAGCAGACACTAGTGCCTAAAAATCTAAAAGCACTCTGGCTTGTGGAATGTTGCCATCTACAACTGAAGCCCTAACTCAATTTTGAGTCTTTATTTCAATTCAGACTCCATTTGAATTGTTACCTCTCTAATGTTTGCTCACCCTTAAACTTGATCGCGCTTAGACAAGAGAACTGTAGTGGTTGAGGTTATTGCCCTGGCTTCAGTCTTTCTCACCCAGCTAAAGAATTAAACCAGATAGGAGATACCAGAGGGGATGACTTCAGTTACAGAGGTTGCACTGAAAGGTTGCACCTTTCCAGCAGTTTGAATCCACCATACATACCACAGATGGGCAATCTCTTCCCATGTGGTTTACACCCTTGGAATCCCACTGGAGGGTCAACTTTTGAGTGGGTTTTGACAATCACAAGAGAGAAAAAATATGTCTGTGGTTTTTTCCTTGTAATGCAGACAGTAGACTTGAATAGCTGACCTTTCAGTTAGCAGTGCAATACATAATGTGCTTTGCCAATAGAACCTACAAAAAGACCTTCCTGATTGTCACCAATCCTCAGGGGAAAGATGGGCAATCTCCTTCCATGGGATTTATAGCCCCGGATACCCAGCTGGACGGCCAGCTATAAATCAAGTTCTGACTTGACAGCAATGAGAATGAGTGAGTTAACGTCCACTTAAACTTGTGAAAATTTTTATTGAGAAAACCAATCGCAGTAAGTTAAGTTTCGTGGGGTTTGTAGTGGCCTTTTTTTTTATGAAAAGATGGAGTTTTTACTTATAATCTGGTGCCACAGGTGCACTGCCTCCTGAAAGGTGGACGGTTGGTATCCACCAGTGGAAAAGATGAGGTAAACCCTTCAGAAAAGATTTATAGCCTTGAAAAAATCCTAAATGGCTGTTTACGCTGTCCTACAGGGTGGCTATGAGAGAATTCACTAGAGGACAGTGCTTTGTTTTTCAAAGCATAATATACTACGATGTTCTTCAGGATCCAACAAGCATTGTCTTGATGATACTACAGTCATTCATTATTCACTTTTTTTTTGTATATGCAAAATAAAATCTATTTTCTTCACTACTATAACTCTGTGGTGATCTTATCCTAGGACGAGCTTTAACCGGCAACAACCATTTAAAGCATTAGATTCCTTACCCGTGTATATTATGAACAAAGTTCTGAACATAAATCTACCATGGTAACAACGTACTGCCAACCTGATCCGGGCCCCTTCTCGGCTCCCTCAATCCCCTTGCCGCTGTTATCTTCATTACATTCTGCTCTGGCATGCCTACAGTGCCAAGAGCGGCCATCCAAGCAAGTGCAAAGCACTGGTGAATGCAAATGAAGTATATGCGTGTGTGAACCCACGTCTAACTCTGATAAAAAAGAAATCCGAGCTCTTCCCACCACCTCAGCGCGGAGGTCATGCACAGTACGCCTGGGCGGACTGCAGGAGGAGGTGGAAGCGAAGGCAGCAGACCTGGGTTGTGGAAGGCCGGCAAGTAGCTGTCTCGGGCTGCACGCCCGGAGGAGGGCACCACGCCGATGGGCCGGAAGCGGCGCTGGGAGGAGGGTCCGGGAGCTCGCGCCGCCGAGGCCTGCTGACATCAGCCGCGCTCCTCCCCTCGCCTCCCAACACCCTCAGCTCCCGGCCGGACCCTCCCTCCTCCCACCACGTGTCCTCCCTTGCTCCCTCCCGAGGGGCCGCGCGCTCAGGAAGCCGGAGAGGCGGAAAGGATGGCGCTCTGACAGCCGGCCCGGAGCCCTCGGCTTCCCCACCCCGCGGCCTCCGCCCCTGGCCCCGGCGGCGAGAGCCTGGGAGGCGCGCGGCCCTGCGGGCGGGACAGGGGCGGAGTAGCCCCTACCCGGGGCCCCGGGTGGCTCGGCCCGGCGGGGACGCCCAGGCTGCAACTGCCGCCGCCGCCGCCGCCTTTGTTGCAGGCCTGCCGGGAGAGGGAGGCAGTGCTGGCCCTCGCTGCCCCGCAGGTGCGCCGGGGACCGGGTGGGGGCCAGGCGGGGAGGCGGACCAGCTGTGAGTGGGGCTGTGGAGAAAGGGAAATGGGACAAGATGGCTGGAGAAATCCAACGCGCCTGGGGGTGCGGCGCAGCGGCGGGCGGGGTGCCCGGGAGTGGGCGGGCGGCGGCCCTAGCTGCGGGCACCTAGCTTTGGGCTCCGCCGCGGTGGCGCGCTGCCTCCTCCCACCTCCTGCCCGGGAGCCGACGGGGAGGCGGTGGCCAAGTTTGGGCCGCATCTCTGGGGAGTGTAATGCTTGCTCCGCCCGCCCCAGACCCATCCATGCTACATTTGCTGGGCTCCTTTGGACCTATCGGAGAATTGACTTTGAACTCCAAAGGGATCTTTTCTTGGACCCTCCGGAGGATGCAGCCCATACTCACTCCACACCTAGGAATTTACCCGCCCCCCTCGAGGGCTGGAGCGTGGCCTTTTGTACAAGCCTGGCCACAGGGGCATTCGTTTGTGGCCCAGCGGCAAGGAATCATTCCGTGGACTGGGTTGACCCAGAGATCGGGTTGGCCGGTATGGCCGTCGTAGATTTCTGCACCCACTTGAGAATGCATAGCCCCCAGCTTGTAAAGATTTAACAGCAGAGCGACTTTGTATTCTGTACTGGATCATGGGCAGAGCAATTTGGAATTGTCTGTGAGAAGCTAGTGGCTGGATATTCTGAGCCAGATTTCCCCATGCATAATCTGCCAGTAATAACAGCCCAGTTGAATAATTGTCTGTGTGTTTAGACACCTTCACTGAAAGGAAATCAACACCCGTCTCCTGCCACTGACTCCATGTTTGGATGACTCTGGCTATGAGAAAGTTATGCCTTTTTGATGCACTGCTTATTCCCCTTCTGCAAATGTTTACCTGCCCATCTTATTTCTGCCCTTCCAGGCCTTACAGAACCAGTCTAGCCACTCTTCCCCAGAAAGCTTTTAAAATATTTGACGGCAGTCAGATCTACTGCCTGCCTACAGACCCTCTTATCATAATTAAATATGTGGCCTCCTAACTTCCTGGTGGTGTCTCTAAAGCTGTTCTTCCTCAGACCTGACTATTCCCTTCCTGCCTTCCAGTCTGTGCAGTATCTGGGGCTTTGTGGGTTTGTGTTTGCTGAACCTCCCCTCACCTCCATACAGGTGGAGCTCAAGCTGACACTAGATTTTTCTAAACGGAACCTTTCTTACAGAGATGGAGTCCACAGCTTACCCTCTCAATGTAACCCTGAAGGAAGAGGAAGAGGAAGAAGAGATTCAGAGCCGGAAACTGGAAGATGGCCATTCAGATATGCAGAAAGTGCGAATCTGCTCAGAAGGTGGATGGGTAAGTCAGGTGTGGGGTCCCAGCACAGCAATGATGAACTAGCCTGGGAGCCAGGTTTCTGTGAAGTCGCCTCAGACAAGAAAAGTAAAAATAGCCCAACCTGGTATGTTTGCATTCCTGAGAAAACAAATGTATGCCTTTAAAAGGCACTCAGAAGAATGCTGATTATGGGAACAGTCCCTCCAGCCACATAGCTTATTACAGGATGGAAGTTCAAAAGGCTATAAGGCCTTGTTTTTCTTGTTCACCCCTGAATCCTTTAGCTATCTATATTCAGTGTCAGGCGAATGGTAAGTGCCAAATAAGTGTTTGCTGAGCGACTAATGGGCAAAGGGAACCATTTCCAATAAGACCTGGGGATGTTGAGCTAGTATGGGGAGAGTTCTGTGAGCCTAGGGCCACTTGGTTCATTAATAATTCACTCAGGATGGTTGAATTTTCAACTTGCTGGGATTGAGGGGTTGGCATGGATGATGGGCAGATAAGGAATGCAGAAATTTGTGCTAGGGTATGTGCTAGAGCAAACTTAAAGAATCTATCTTTGACAGTATCTATCCACAGTGTTTGCTGGGCTTCATGATAAATGGACAGGAATAATAAAAGCTTTATATACACCAAACTGGCATTTTTTTTCTGTGCATAGTTTCCCATCTTATATAGTGCTTATTTTTTTCTGAGAAGAAGCTCATGTTCATAGAACTGTTACATTCAAATGATCAAGTCTGGATTCCCTGTAGGTGAGGGAACTGGAGCACTAGGAGGTGCTTTGCCCCAAGGATGGATGTGTATGCTGATATTTGTTCTTTAGAAACAAGCTTCCTTAGCTATATCCTAAAAGTACTATGATTCTTTTGGGTTTTTTTACTCAGTAAAAAGCTAAAAGCCGTTGCAGGCCGAGATTCACCACTGACTAGACATTACCTTTGCCTTTGTTCTTTGTCCACCCTGTTCTCATCTTCAGGTTTGGTTCTCCCAGCTAAGGAAGCCTTGGAGGGAATGAGTCAGTACCAACTGGCCTGGAATGGGACCTCAAGGCAATAGAAAAACCCTTGACTCTGAGGCCTAGTTGTTTAACCCAAGATGTTGAGATAGAGAGCCTTGGAAAATAGGTACAGTAAAGGTCCTGTCTACGTGTGTTAAGGCAACGAGAAAAGTGCCAGGTGAAATTGGTACTTAGGTTGGGAAAGAAAGAAATAACCAGAAGAATTGGAGAAGCAGAACTGGCAGTGGAGTGGTGCTGGGAATTTGGCATTTGTGGCCTCTATGGTTCTGTCATCCACTCAGCTGGTATTGGAAGGGTGCTAGGTTCTGTGTAGATAAGACTCCCTGCCTCTGTGGAGTTCCTGGTTGCAAGTAGAACACAGAAAATAAACAGTTCAGAGTAGTGTGCAAAGCACAGTGGTGAAGGTCAGCCCAGGAGACAATGGTGACCAAGAAGAGAAAGGCTGCCTTCAAGTTGGTGAATTAGAGGGTCTCCCAGGGAAACTGTCTGTCATTGGCCTAGTCTGTTTTTTGGGGGGTATTTGAGTTCATTTTTCTACTGATAGTGATCTCTTAGTATTACTCTATATAACATAGGAGAGCTCTGGTGGTGTAGTCCATAGGTTGCCCTGTTAAACCAAAGGTAGTGCTTTTGATGGTTCTAGTACATCAGGTGCTCCCCAGGAGAAAAATGGACAGTCTCCTCCTGGGCAGTGTCCAACCTCCAAAAACCCTCTGGAGGGTCAATCCTGACTCAGTGGCAGTGAGTTTTATGTTACATGGTAAAACTGCTCCATAATATCTTAATTGGCTGTTATCTTTACAGGAACCAAGTCTTTTCTTCCTCAGAGCCTCTAGGTTGGTTCAGACCACTGACCTTGGATAACAGTGGAGCATTTACCTTTGCACTTCAAAGGGGTCACAGTTGTATCAGTTGGGAGCAGTTTTGCCCTAGGGGACATTTAACAGTATTTGGGAGACATTTTTGTCATGGCTTGAGGGAGAAGGCTGCATACCTACAGATATTAAGTGGATAGAATGTAGGTATGCTGTTAAACTGCACAGGACAGTTCCTACAAGAGTTACCCAGCATTTAAAATATCAGTAGTAGTAAGGTTGGAAAACCCTGCTGTAAAGCATTAAACTCACTCATTGCTGTCAAATTGGGACCAACTTGTAGTTGATCTTCCAGTGGCTTTTTGGTTTTGTTGTTGTTATTGTTGTTTTTAATTGAGATTTTAATGGAAGTTTATAGAGAACATGGATTTCCATTCATTCATTTTTGCACATTTTCCTCCTTGCCCACACCACCCCCCAGTTCACTTTTCTCTTTGAAAAAAAAAATTATTTTCATTTTTAAACAATTCACCCCTGCGAGTCCACTTTACTATGCAGCTCTTATTCTGGACTGTTGTCATGCAAATAATACCTAATCATATATTCGATTTAAGCAATTCTTTCCCTCATCTGTTTCAGTGCAATGTACATTATTTATCCCCTCTTTTCTTAGTTTCCTCCAACCCAAAGTCAGTCCTGTTTTATAACAGTAGCATTATGCAGTATTTGTCGTTTTATGACTGAGATATTTTGCTCAGCATAATGTCCTCCAGAGTCACTAATATTTTATAATATTTCATGAGTTCCTTGTTTTTCAATGCTGCATAGTATTCCATTGTGTGAATATACTCGAGCTTCTCTCCATATTTTTGTTGATGGACACTTGGGTTGTTTCCATCTCTTTGCTGTTGTGAACATTGTAGCAATAAACATGGTTGTGAATATATCTACTTGGGTGACAGCTCTGGTGTCTTTAGAGTCTATTCCCAGTAGTTGAATTTCTAGTTCAAATGGTATTTAAGTTTTCAACTTTTTGAGAAAGTGCCATATCACCTTCCAGAGTGGTTGCACCATTTTACACTCCCACCAAGAGTGAATAAGGGTCCCTTTTTCTCCACAACCTTGCCAGCATTTGTTGTTTGCTGCTCCAGCGCCTTTTTGAAGGCTATAAATCGCAGAGGAAGATTTATCTTTCTCTTAGGGAGCCCTTGGTGGATTCATACCTCCAGAGAGGGCCAGTCACCTTCCTACAGGTAAGGACACCAGAGGTCCCTAAAGCATTAAACTATAGGAAGAAAATAATTAAATCCTTTTTTTAAAAGTTCATTTTGGATTATGTTAGGGTAATCACAGATTTTTCCAGTGTAAGAGCCATATTGTGTTCAGATAAAAATCTGTAGGAGAACTGAAATGGTAATAACAATTTCAGGTAGAAAAAAGGAAAACTCACTTAAACTGATTCTTAGTCATGGAATCAGCCAGAGGGTTGTATTCCAGGCAGAGAGGGCAGCACTGGCCAGAGCACTGGGTGGAGAAAGGTATGTGCAGACTTCAGAGCTATTCACGTAGCTGGAGCCTGAAGTCCATGCATGGTACTCAGAAAACTCATTGTTAGCAAGTCAGAACCGACTCATAGTTGAAGACCCTCCAGCAGGTTTTCAGAGGCTGTAAATCACACTCAGGAAGAGATTGTCCATCTTTTCCCCTCAGAGCAGCTGGTGGGTTCAAACCATCTGCCTTTAGGTTGACAGCTCAACCCCTTATCTACTAGGCCACCAGAGCGAAGTACATGGTTGGAAATGGAAATCCCTAGGATGGGAGAAGTGGGACAGACCATGGACAGGAATAGTCAGTTGGGTGTGGTGTTCACTGCTCTCCTCTCAAGGACTCTGTCCTCAGCTCATCCATCCAAGGAGGGAAGGAGCTGGCTCTCACCAAAATCCTTAGGTGGTTAAAATGGTTACCATCTAGCTATTAACTGAAAAGTTGTCCAGTTGAGTCTACACAGAGGCAGCTGGAAAAGAAAGCTGATGAAAATCAGAGGAGCACATTTCTACCTGATACATGGGCTCCCTATGAGTCAGTAGAGACCTAGGAGACGACTCCCTCAGCCCCTAAGTTTTTCAGCCACTATGCTAAGGTCTCGTCGCTTGTCAGGTGAGGAAGCTAGGGCTTTGGAATCAACTTTATAGCATTACGGCTTCCGGCAAGTTACTTAACCATTCTTTTTTTTTTCTCCTATAAAAGTGAGGCAGCAATTCCCAGCTCTGTGGCTTATTCCAAGGATTACGTGTGGTAAATGATTAAATGTGTAAGGAGTTCCTGACACGGTGATGGCACACAGCAGGGCTCCACTATTGCAGGCTCTCCCCTGAGATCACCGCCCTCCTCTCTGGGTGGCTGCAAGGCTTCAGTGAGTGACACCATGGAATTTGTCAGCACTTTATGACGGCTTTGGAATGCCAGCTTCTTGGGCAGAGCAAGGCAGTGCAAGCAAACTAATGGAATGACTCCTATCAAGTGTGTCTTTAATCTGTGGAGGAAGGGGCAATTGGGGGCACCTGCTTATGGGGCCAACAGAGGGTTTCCAAGCTTGGACACAGGCTGGCTGCCTTCTCAGTTTTGCCTAAGGCTGGCCTTGTTTACCTTCTGCTTTAGTTCAGCCAGATAAAAGGTCTCTTTGGAGCAATGGGAGGCCTGCACAGCAGGGCCTGGCTGAGAGCTTGCTTGATTCACACAGAGGGTAGCTGTGAGAATTGCTAAGCCACTGTACTGTGTGCCTCTGGAACATAATGTGGGCTTGTTTGAAGTTCCTCTGTGGCTCAGTCATAAGAGGCAGTGAGGCCTGCCCAGCCTCGGGCCTTGTCATGGCTCACGGCTTCAAGGATCTTGATATTTTCACTAGGTGTAAGACATGTTAGAAACCCTGGTGGTGCACTGGTTGAGCACTCAATTGCTGAATCAGAGAAAGATATGGCAGTCTTGTTTCCATAGACTGCAGACTTGAAACCCTATGGGTCACTTCTGTTGTGTCCTGTACACTTGCTTGGAGTTAGAACTGTTCTGACTCAACACCTTCAGAGTATTAACAGCCCTTCTGAAGTGATGGAAACAGCTAGGTCTGGGTCCAGTTGTATCAGCCAAGGAACTGAATAAGATAGCTTGGTTCTGGAACTTCTAGCGAGAGAAAAGGCCTAGGCGAGTTGTTTAAAAGTATTTATAGAGGGAAACTGTGGGGTGGAAAATTTCTAATTGACTGACTTTCCAGGATGGTAAAAATCACAAATTTAGTTGTGACCCCTGAAAATACACATATGTATGTAATGTGGAAGGAAGCTTTGGTGGCCTAGTGGCAAGAAGCTGCACTATAATCCCGAAGGCATGTGGTTTGAGGCCACCAGCCGCTCTGTGGGAAAAGGATGGGCAATTTCCTCCCATGCAATTAACTGCCTCTGAAAAATTGCTGGCAGGTCAGCTATGATTCAGTTCTGACTCTATGGTACACAATAACAACAACAAGTAAGGTGGAAATCTGCAATGAGACCCTGTGATCTCTTAAGTCAAATAGTTCTAGGAGAGTTAAAGGCAGAATTGAACCCTCCTTAATCCCATCAAAGCCCCAGTTGAATGTAAGAAAGGCTTTTCTAGGGTGTAGCCTTGTAATATCTTTTAACTTACTGGAGAAAAGGGAGCAGAAAGAGGGGAACCCTAAGTACCACCAAAAAGTAATCATTAGAAGTGGAATGCATCTCTGAACCAGGCCCCTGCTCCAGGAAGTTCTCAGACGCTGTGGAAGACCAGGATGCAAAAAGGTCTCCAGGGAACGCTACAGATGTTGAAGGAACAAGCACTTTCCTCCACAACTGACAGAGAAGGCCTTCTGCTAGGGTTGGTACCCTCAATTTAGACTCCTAGCTTCCTAAACGGGAAACCAGTAAACTTGGGTTTGTTGAAAACAGTGCACATGTGGTATCTCTGTTATAGCAGCATTTGTTAACTAAGGCAGTAAGTAAAAAATGAGGAAAACCTAGGGTTGAATCCATTTTTACTTTGTTATTTCACACTTAAGGACTTGTCCATTCCTGCTCCAAAGAGTAGGCTTGGTTTTGTGACATAAAATTTAATCCTTACTTGAAATTGTTCAGGTTAAACAAGAGAAGATGAATCCAGAGCTATGCGCTTAGTTTATTCCATATCACATTTTAAGTGGCTCTAAAAAGGGCAAAGGCATTTGATGATGTGAATGATTTTTAATTATGGATAACATTGAGAAGAATAGGAATTGCAGAACACTTCATTTTCATGTCACACCTGTACATAGACAAATAAGCAGTCATTTAAACAGAATGAGGGGATGTTTTGTGTTTTAAAATCAGGGAAAGTATGTGTCAAGGCTGCCTCCTTTCAACATACCTGTTTAATCTATGCAAATAATTGGTGAACCTGAACTGTAAAGGAAACTGTGGCATCAGGATTGGAAGAAGATAGAATAATCTGTAATATGCAGATGACACACCTTGCTTATAGAAAACAAAGATGATTTAAAGCACTTAACTGATAAAGTTCAAAGACTATATAGCTTTTGGTATGGATGATACTTCAACATAGAACCTCACCACTAGATTAATAAGGAGGAGCAGCATAGATGGAGGAAAGGTTGATGTCAGTGATCTTACTTTTGCTTGGATCCACAATCAGCCCCACAGAAGCAGCAGTCAGGAAATCAAATGATGTATTTTAAAGGGCATAGTTGCTGCCAGTGACCATTAAAGTACTGGAGAGCAAGAATATCACGTTAAAGACTAAGAGTTGCCTGACTCAAGCCATGATATTTTCAGTTGCTTTGTATGTATGTGAACGTTGGACAGCAAATAAGAAAAATAGAAGCTGATTTGATGCAAAGAGTATGAAACAGATTTGCCGAAAGAGCAAACGTATCTGTCTTGGAAAAAGTGCAGCCAGAGCATTCCTAAGAAGCTGGGATAATGAGACTTTATCATATATACTTTGGTCATGTTAGCAGGTAGAGTCGGTACCTGGAAGGGGATTTTACACTTGAATTAGAGGGTCGGTGAAGGAGAAGACAACCCTCAATGAGATGGATTGGTGCAGTGATTGGCACCGTGGGCTCAGGCACAGCAGGGAGTAAGGATGGCCCAGGAGCAGGCACTGTTCTTTGGTACCTAGAGTAGCAGAGAGTCTGAGCCCCCTCGATGGCGCCTAACAACATCTGTCACAGGTATCCTGGACTTGGGGAAACAAAACTGAGTAAAGCACAAGATCTGCCCTCTGTGAGCTTGGATTCTAGTGGAGGAAGCAGACAAATGAGCAAAAAGAACAGTACAGTTCAATAGGGGCCACCCGAGCCCCTATGTGTAATGGGAACCCAGCATGGGTCGCCTGACCTGTGGGTGATGTTAGCAGGGCAGAGAGTGGGAAGCGCGTTGGAGACAGGAAGAGGTGTGTGCAGAGCCCTGGAGCCATCAGAGGAGCTAAGTAGCTGGGTGGAGCCAGGCATGCTGTTGGATGAGAACTGAGTCTAAATCATCCAGGGAGGCCACTTTGCTCAGCCCTCAAGTTGGAGGATGCTGTGTCCCAATCTTAACCCTGCTGTTTTCAGCCATGGGACTTTTCACTGGAAAAGTAGCCTTTCTGGGTCTTCTTTGTGTTTTGACTAAATGGGTTGTCCCTCCTTCTCTACAGGAATGGGAGAATGAGTGGAGCAATTACCAATCCCTAACTGGAAAAGAGTCCTCTCATGCATTAGGAAAAAGCTTGGAGATCCATTTCCAAAACGCCAGCCTTTGAAAACCCTCTCTGAGGCTCTAAGAGTATAGAGAGCTCTCATGGCCTGGTGGCTGTGCTGCAATGCTGCAGGCACACAGTTTGAATCCACCAGCTGCTCTGTCTCCTGTGCAGTTAACTGCCTCTGAAAACCTGCTGGAAGGCCAGCCATGGTTCGGTTCCAACTTGACAGCACACAACAATAAGAGTAGAACCACAGTTACACCCTGGCACACATGGGGTCGCCATGAGTTAGAATCTGCTCAATGGCCTTGAGATGTAGCGGTTGCAGAAGGAATGAGTGAGCTTCTGTGAAGGAGCAAAGGCCAGTTTGTCTAGGTGATGGATGATATTATACCTTGTACACCTGGATTGACTTGTAAGCTGACGATGAATATTTTTATAATCAGCTAGACCCTGCTTTCCTTACCCATTAACTGAGGAAGCAGGCTGCCTTGCTGTAAGGTGATGCAGTGAGGCTTGTGACCTTCTCCTGGTTTGCCTTCGGTTGCCTCATCAGTGGGGACAGACCCTTAGACCCCTGAGCCACCGTTCTTTACCTGTAGGATGCAGGGCTCATAGCTCTGTGTTCTTGCGCGGCCTGCCAGGCTCTGAGTATATGTCTGCGTGTGCCTATTAGTTGCTGAGAAAGTCCTGTTCACTGTTCCAGGTACCAGCCCTATTTGATGAGGTGGCCATATATTTTTCCGATGAGGAGTGGGAAGTTTTGACGGAGCAGCAAAAGGCCCTCTACCGGGAAGTCATGAGGATGAATTATGAAACTGTCCTGTCCCTGGGTAAAGCTTCCTTTTCCTTTGTCTCCTAGACACTCTGAATCCAGAGAATTGCTTCTTTCTGTGTGTCTGTTCTCTGGAGTAGCCAGAAAACCCTCTCTCCTGAACTTGGACTCTGTCCCCTCAGTGCCTGATCTCATCAGATGTCCTCTTTGTAATTTGGGCTGAAAATAAATATGGCATTCTTGTACCTCAGCAACATATACCTATATCTCAGAAACACCATCAGTTCACCCCAGGCATTCTCACTAAAAATAACCATACAACCTCAAAAAGGTCACCATGGATGCAGGCTTTTGTTTTCTTTTCTAAGACAGGTTTCATCCCTTTGGGCTTCGAAACTTGAGGACATACCCCCAAAGAATCCTAGCTTCCTCCCCTACATTAATATCATCCACAGTGTTAGAGTTTCCACTTGGAACACTTTTCCCAGTTTGTTCCCTTGTGTTCCCACATGTTCATTAACCCAGTGGCTACATCCACTTCCCTGCTACATGCAGTTGTTACTACCACCTCTCATTAGAAGAGATCCATAATTCCCTTGAATAAACCTCTTTCCAGCTATATTTGTTGGTTTCGCTTCCCTGACTCTTTTTTTTTTTCTCCCCTTCCTCTCAACAAATTTCTTTGTTGAGAGGGCCCAGTAATGAGAGGCCCAGGGATTCCATCACTGTTATGAAATGCTTTACTTTGGCAGCACTCCAGGACAGTAACACAGCTATTTTATTTCCCATAAACAGAATTCCCGTTCCCTAAGCCAGACATGATCACTCGCCTGGAAGGGGAGGAAGAGGCTCAGAAATCCAAAGAATGGCAGTTCCAAGGAGGACCACTTGCAGGTAGGTCCAAGGAGGACCATTCACACCCAAACCAATCCTTCATCCATCCAAATGGAGCTTTACAAAGCTGGAGTCTGCATTTCCCTGTTGTTATGTGCCATTGAGTCGCTTGTGACTCATAGTGACCCTGTGTACGGGAGCCCTAAACGCTGCTCTATCCTGTGCCAACCTCACCGTCTCAAACACTCATTCCCACCACCGCAATCACAGAATCGATCCATCTTATCGAGGGTCTTCCTCTCCTGCGCCGTCCTTCCACTCTCCCAAACTTGATATCCCTCTCCAAGGACCAGTCCCTCCTTGCAGCATGCCCAGAGTATGTCAGACGAAGCTTCAGAATCCTTGCCTCCAAGGAGCATTCCGGCTTCATCCTTTCCAGGACAAACCTGTTTGTTCTCCTAGTGGTCCAGGGTCTTTTAAAAGTGAAGTGGATTTGCAAGAGAGAAAGAATATGGGCTTTAGAGTTTAAAAAGTCCCCTTCCTTTTAATGCTTTTTGGCCTCAGGCACCTTCTTTGACAACTTCTTTGATCTCTCTGAGCCTCTGATTTTTCATCTGTAAGTGTGTAGCCTTGATGCAACCTGACATGCAAATGAATTGGAATGAGGCTTATGACATATTAGGTCTGTTGTTGTTGCTATGTGCCGTCGAGTCGTTTCCGACTCATAGCGACGGAATATTAGGTCTAGCATACGTTTTTGTTAACATGGCCACCAGGACCTCCACAGACCAAGGAATAATAAAATGGGAGAGTACACTTCCATAGTTATTTACCCTGATTTCCTGTTCATTTCACACTGGATAAGAAAAGCAGTATCAGGGGAGCTCTGGTGGCCTAGTGGCAAGAAGCTGCACTACAATCCCAGAGGCACACAGTTTGAATCCACCAGATGCTCTGCCGGGGAAGGAGGGACAATCTCCTCCTATACCAGTCAGATCTGATTTGATGGTACACACAAATAATAATAAAAATTAAAAAAAGAAAAAGAAAAGCAGTATCTAGCCGCTGTAGCATGCATTCAGACAGATCTGCCTAAGCAGCATATAATTCCTTATCAAAGAATGCAGTTAGGACAGTAATAGATGGGTGAATATAGCATAGCCTCCAGATAGGCAGAATCTTGTTTTTGATTGGGATTTGACTGAAAGTATACAAAGTAAACTGGTTTTCCAATCAGATAACATTTTATTTAATGATGTTAACTATTGTCCCTAAAATGTAATTAGTGTTTCCCCCCTTCCTCCCTGTGATTCTGGTTTCCATTAATCCATCTCTTCTACCCCTTCTGCCTTCTGAGCTTTATCCCTGAGCAAATGATGCCCTTGTCATATTTTATGACTAAATATTCTGAGGAGTGAGTGGTGCTGCCATTCACCTTACAGGCCTTTCTGTTGTTTGACTATTAAGATGAGCCACATTGGTGAATTTTGCTCCCAGTTCAAAGGGCTATAATTTTGAGTTTCCGCCAGTCTATTGTACCAAGAAAGCTTGGCCATTTTTAAGTTTTTGAGTACTGTGCCATGTTTTTCTCCTGCTGTATCTAGGACCCTCTACTGTGATCCCTTAGGCAGAATAGTTTTACTTGCTTGCTTTCTATAGCTGTATTTCTTTGATTCTTTTTTTTTTTTATTTCTTTGATTCTAAGACACATTTTCTCACAATCATTTTAATACTTCAGAAAGTATTTTAATTAGTGGCATTTTTTCCTTCTTTCTTAATGTCACATAAAGGAACATCTTAAAAGTAATGACATTTTGTTTTGGTTAAATATGGTCATTTTACCAAGCCATACAATTTCTGTAACAACCTTCTGATGAAACCCAGTTCTCACATCGGTATGCAAAACCAGTTTTTTTGCTTTAACTTTGCTAAATATGGTTTTTGCACTGGGAGGTTTTTTGGTTTTTGTTTTTGGGGTTTTTTTTTGTTCAGAAGATATGATTCAGTTCTTGATATATCTAAATCCCTCTAATACGTAGATTGTGGGTTATATTTGGCTTCTCATCCATGTAGAAATTATTTTGACCCAGACACAGCCTCCAGCTTATTATAGGGTAGTTCCTATAAGTTGGCATGTAGGTGAAGACTTAGGTGTTTAAAAGAATTCTGTCAGTACAAGTGAAGTAAGCCCTTAACTGCCAGTAGAGATGAGGTTGGTGATTTGAATCCATTCAGCTTCACAGCAGGAAAAAGGCCTGTCAATCTGTTCCCTGAAGTGTGTATCTTAACAAAATCCAGAAGGCAAGAACTGTTAGGAAAAAAGGAAGAATGGTCTTGGGAAACAGAGGGAGGAACTGGGATGAGTGATGCTTCATCTTGGGGATTGCATTACAGTCAATGTCACAAAACAAATGTGTATGAATTATTGACTGGAAAACTGATTTACTCAGTACACCTTCACACAGTAAATAAAACATTAAATAAGTAAAAATTTGAAAAGTCTAGTAATCTATTAGGGTTATTCTGCCACCCATGAGTTTGAAAACCAACAACAGAGTACACTTCAGATTAAGATATTCTTGCATTTTGATCAGAAATTCAGGGAATAGTTACAAAATTTTGCTCATGTGCACCCTTTTTGTCCCTTCTTGTTTGTCTCCCAGAAAATGAAGAGTCTGACAACATGAAGCCTCCAGATTGGGCGGGCCCAGTGAACACCACCGCCCGGCTTCCTCGTGCCTCACCTGCGCACCTTGACAGCCTTGGCCTCCGGCTGCCTCGGGACCTCACAGACCTGCCTGAATGGGGTGAGGGGTACCCCTTCTACATGGCCATGGGCTTCTCCGGGTACGACCTTTCAGCTGATGACATCGCCGCCAAGTTCCAGTTCAGCCGGGGCATGCGCCGCAGTTACGACGCCGGCTTCAAGTTGATGGTGGTGGAGTATGCCGAGAGCACCAACAACTGTCAGGCTGCCAAGCATTTCGGAGTGCTGGAAAAAAACGTGCGAGACTGGCGCAAAGTAAAGCCGCAGCTCCAGAATGCCCACGCCATGCGCCGAGCGTTCCGGGGCCCTAAGAATGGGAGGTTTGCACTGGTGGACCAGCGTGTGGCTGAATATGTCAGATATATGCAGGCCAAAGGGGACCCGATCACCAGGGAGGCCATGCAAATGAAAGCTCTGGAGATTGCCCAGGAGATGAACATTCCAGAGAAAGGGTTCAAAGCAAGCTTGGGTTGGTGCCGGAGAATGATGCGAAGATATGACCTGTCTCTGAGGCATAAAGTCCCGGTGCCACAGCACCTGCCTGAAGACCTGACGGAGAAGCTCATCACCTACCAGCGGAGCGTCTTGTCCCTGCGGAGGACACACAAGTACGAGGTGGCTCAGATGGGCAATGCAGATGAGACACCTATTTGTTTGGAGGTGCCATCGCGGGTGACAGTGGACAACCAGGGAGGAAAGCCCGTTTTGGTCAAGACACCCGGCAGGGAAAAACTGAAAATCACAGCCATGCTTGGTGTCCTGGCTGACGGGAGGAAGTTGCCTCCGTACATCATCTTGAGGGGGACATATATCCCCCCTGGGAAGTTCCCCAGTGGGATGGAGATCCGTTGCCACCGGTATGGGTGGATGACCGAGGACTTGATGCAGGACTGGCTGGAAGTGGTATGGAAACGGAGGACTGGTGCGGTGCCCAAGCAGCGAGGGATGCTGATCCTGAACGGCTTCCGGGGCCATGCCACCGACTCGGTGAAGAGTTCCATGGAGAACATGAACACCGATATGGTTATCATCCCGGGGGGCCTGACCTCGCAGCTCCAGGTGCTGGATGTGGTGGTCTACAAACCGCTGAACGACAGCGTGCGGGCCCAGTACTCCGACTGGCTGCTGGCGGGGAACCTGGCACTGAGCCCCACCGGAAACGCCAAGAAGCCGCCCCTGGGGCTCTTTCTGGAGTGGGTCATGGTGGCGTGGAACAGCATCCCGGTCGAGTCCATCGTGCAAGGGTTCAAGAAGTGCCACATCTCCAGCAACTTGGAAGAAGAAGATGACGTCCTGTGGGAAATCGAGAGTGAATTGCCAGGAGGAGAACCATCAAAAGAATGTGAAGCTGAGAGCTTAACTTAGAGCAAATAGAGGAAACGATTAGGTGAGTTGGGAATAGTCTGTGTCTTACTTGTTAATGGTCCCTGGATGGCAAAATGGTTGTGTTCAAGCCATAAGGTTGATGGTTTGAACCCACCCACTGGTGCTGCAGAAGAAAGGGCTGGCAGTCTGCTTGTTCAAGGATTGTCATCCAGGAAATCCCTTGGAGCACTGCTTGGTGACCTTGGGGTCACCGTGAGCTGGAATGGATTTGACAGAATTGGATTTTGTTTGTTGTTTTTCCCCTTGGTACATATTTGAGTACTACATACCTTTCTATTTCAGTTATTTTTCTGTTTTCAGGTTCTCTGACAGCCCCTAGTTTAATTATATAGATGCCAGGCCATCATCATTCCCTCTTTCATGTGGAATGTTTCTTGCTTGGACTTAACTTTGTGTGTGGTTTGCTCTGCAGTCTATGGTCCCAGGAGCACACTTGTGTCATAAATAAAATGAACAGAGGGAGCTGTCAGGACATTTCATCTGAGAGCTGTAATGTTGAAATAAAACATTTGAGCCTGAGGGAACACAGGCTGGCATTGCTTAGTTAATGAAAAGTTTTGTTTGAGAAAACAACTTTTCCCCCCAGTCTTATAAATCACACTGAAAATTTAGGGCCAATAAGTGTAAGAACAGGATGCTCTGGTGTCATAATCCATAGGGAATAACCCAAACCCAAAGGCCTCAATTCTTTGGCAGTTCTCCCCTCTCTGCACCAGCAGTTCCAGGGGAGAAGGATGGGCTGTTGTACTCTGCGCAATTTACAGACTTGGAAAACCCAGTGGAGGGTCAGCTGTGAGGCAGTTCTGACTGGACAGCAGTGAGCATGCGTGTGGCTCCGTGGGCCTGGGACAGGGAAAACACCAAGAGCACCTTTGGTGAGGTATCCTCAGCCCTAGAGACTCGAGAGTCCCAGCCCTAGTTTATAGGCATCCCTCTGAGGAAGCATCTGTTTGTATTTCCCTAGGGAGTGCAAAAGTTTGTTGTTGTTTTTTTTAAATACTATGAGTAATCTTTACCTGTAGAGAGTTGGTAATTATAATATCAGCAGATATCTAAGGAACATAATTTTAAATTTAAACTTTGCAACCAAAAAGAAAATAAAATAGGATGTATATCTAGGACACCAAGAGTGAAGTGTAGGGCTAAGTACAGCTGGACCTGAGATTTTCAGAGTTCGCTATAGAAGGGGAACAGCTTTAAAAGGAAATGAGGACTGGGGTCCTGGCAGAGACCACCCAAGTCAGTCAGCCCACCTCCACCCCCATCAAGAAGATGATATCCACAAACAGTGGGAGGAACAGACCTATTTACTTTCCCTTTCTGTGTCTCTAATTGTCGGCTGATTTGTTCCTTTGAACAAATTTGATAGGCTGGAAGAGACCATTCGTTCTGTCAGAGGAGTTGAAATCATCTTGCCTTTTAAAATTATGCTCGCACCTCACAGACAAAGCCATTGCTAGAAATGTCATTCCCATATCACATCTGGATAACAGGTTGCTAATTTCTTATAGACTCAGCTCCACACTCCCATCTCATATAAGTACATCTATGTATTGAAGAGTGACTTGTGTCCCTTCATTGCCCTTTGTCAACTGTCCCATATTACTGGGATCCCTAAATTGCAACAAAACTAGAAATCTTGCACTGCAATAAAAGTCAACAAAATTGCTTATTTTTCTCGTCTCATGTCTCTCACTTTTCCACCTCTTGAACTTAGCCTCTCTTCTCCTGGCTGTTTTAGTACACCCTGAAAACATTTTTAACCATTTCTAATTTAATTTTTTTTTTTTTTTTTTTTTTAATTTTTTAGCTCTTCCTCCCTAGGGGTATCAGTAGTCAGAAACGGTCAGGAGAGAAAGAGCGGGATCTGGATCAGTGACTGAGCTGCCACTGTGAACACTGGTGTGGGTAGCATTACAGGCACCTGGAGCTTTTGTTCTTGGCAGACATCGTTCTCGTCATAGTTACCCTCTTTTGCTCGGGGCAAAAATGTAGGAAGAGAGGCAGGCAGACTGCTTCCTCTCATCTTCATCTACTTGGATATCTAACTGATTATATGGTGATGACATTGTGCTAGATTAAAGTTGTCAGATATCCACAATCCAAAGATCATTTAATTCTTGGGTTTCTTTGTTTTCCAGCAAAAAGAACTGTGATTGCAACAGTTGGAGAGGAAGCTCTTCTAGAAGGTTCCTGGTGGTGAGTGCAGAGGGGACAGCAGGAAGAGGCCATGGTGCTTTCTACAGACTCAGTCCAGACTGCAGCCTGTGCTTCTCTCCCAGGACACAGCCCAGCCCCACACATATGAGGTGTGCCCCACGCTAGAGGTGACACGCACCTAGGGCACTTGATCATCAGAGATGATCAAGAGAGGGGTTGCAGAAGAAACTGTTTCTGCCCCATTTCTTGGTTTGGAGATAACCCCTTGTGTCCATCCATCAGAAGGAACCTGTAAATATGATTAACAGAGGCATTCTCTCCTTGAGAAGAGATCATTTGTTCGGCACCGACAAACTCATCGCAGGGCACGGCTCTGCTGGTGTCCATCCTGCACAGAAAACTTCAAGTCACTGTATTCTTCAGTCTTTGAAAATGCTTCCAAGAGGAGACATTCCAGAGGCTTTATAGAAATGTTGTCTCGCCCATGTACACCCACTACTTACTTGCTTCCTCTTTTGGAAAAAATGAGATACTAACCGTAACAGCAAAGTTAAGGCATACTGGCCTGGTGCCAGTAAAATGGCTTTTCTATAGACAGACTAGGTTAGTGTGGAAGATAGAGGTTAAAAATAAACGATGCTATTTTATTTATCTTCCCAATCTGGTTGGCAGCTAGACCTTTCTTTGGGGTCTTCTTGTTTAATGGCCTTTTTTATTATTATTGTTCTATTTAATGATAGGGCAGCATTTAGTCTACAAACTCTTCTGTTGGTCAGGCTGCCTGCAGAAGACGTCACCATAAATTTTCTTCTGTCTGCTTGGTACATGGCCCACTGAGTCATCTGTTACTTGTTAATTTCTATAATAGTTTTATCCCAAGGGTGGTGGGTGGGCTTGGACCTTTATCCACAGCTGTTTCAGAGCTCCTTCTCTTCTACTCTGCTGAATATAGGTTGGGGAGAGGGCACTGCATTTTCACATTGGTAATTTGCATTCCCTCACAATGTTAATAGAAACATTCCATCAAAACGGTAAGCTAAAAAAATTACGCTAGCACCTCACAGACAAAGCCATTGCTATAAATGTCACTCCCATATCACATCCGGATAACAGGTTGCTAACTTCTTATAGACTCAGTCTACTTCTCTATTGTCCCCATTCTTGGCATCCTGAAACACCAGTTTCTACTCAGGTATTCACTTCCTTGTTAGTGATTCGCCTTTCTTATCTTTTTAAGACCAGTTTTACCCCAAACAAAGGGAGAAATGTCACATCTTGTATGTGAATAACTTGGAATATTTGAATTGTTTCCTGCTTTGCTTTTAACGTGTATTTTGATCATCTCAGCTGTTCTCCGCACCTAGGTACTTTTCCATTCCAGGAGTTTTTCCTCCTTCCCATTCTAGTTAATTCTCCACTGTCCTAGTTTCTGGCTTTCCTCTTTATGTTTTATTTCACTTTGTTAGGAGCTTAACGGATTTTACAAGACCTCATTTCAGGTTCCTGCATTATAGCCCCAGTATCTTGCCGAGAAGAGTAGAAAATGGGCTCAGATTCCCAAAAATTGGAATGAAATGGGTGTTTCATTCTACCACTAACTCCTTGAGTCTCATCACCAACTGACAGATGATGGCTTGCAGGTTGCATAGCACTGGAACTTTATCCAGAGTGATGGCTCTACTGTCAGGGCTTTTCAGGGCTCATTCTCCACTGATGTGTCATGTAGGCCTAACAGAGCCCCAGTACAACTATTTTACAAAATGCCTTTTACCCTAGACTTACAATAGCACATACTGAGGCATAGTTTTACTTCCCAGTAGGTAAGAACTCACCCTACCAATAAACTTTGGTAATAAACAAGATAGACTATGGTGGTTTTATTATTTTTACCAGCAAGCATTGTTATTTCCAAGCTATTGTCTATATCTGTTCTCCATCTACTTTGGTATTACACCTTTGATTCAAGTCTGTTTATAGGATAACAGTGAAAGTAATGTTGATGTCTTTGAAGACAAAGGGAAGAAAAAGTATGTACTTGGTTTTAAACTGGCTTAAAAAGGGAAACGAGTTGTGCATAAACAGCTTTTTCCCCTCAAGAATCATTTTGGATGCTTTCAGAAATGGTCCATTACAAAATCACTCAATGGAAATCTTTAAAGTGGCACTAATTTAAAATGAGTGAATACATACCAACAAAAACACTTGGTTTTCATAAATTTTTAAAACAGCATGATGGATTCATACACCCTTTCATCATTGGGTGTGCCTTCAGATAAATTCAAAGTCAGCTCATGGCTGTTGAGTTGGAACTGACTCATCTGGCCGTGTAGGGAGTTTTCCGAGACTCTGAGTCACACAGGAGATTCCATCTCTCTCCCAAGGAGCAGTGACAGTTCATAGCCACACCAGATAGCCCTGGTGGCACAGCGGTTAAGGGCTCACTTAGAAATCAAAAGGTCAGCATTCAGACCAACCAGCAGCTGCATTGGAGATCGAGTTAGATGCCACTAGGGGAGTACAACTCATAGTGACCCTGTGAATAATCAATCTGAACGCTGTCCTACCCGTTGCCATCCTCACAGTCTTGATCACACTCAAGTCCATTGCCATAGTTCCTGTGTCAACCCACCATCTGATCGAGGATGTTCCTCTCACTAAAGATAAGACCTAATAATTTGCTCCCTTAAGTCATATAGAACTAGGAAGCCCTATAGAGTGATTCTGCTCTGTCCTATAGGATCTTTATGAGTCAGAATCTCAAAGCAGTTACCAGTTGTGAAGGACCTGAATCCAAGTCAGAATAGAACCATGCTCCACAG